CCACAGCCGGGCCTGGCAGGCGTCCTTCGCCAAGCCCTTGGCCCATGTAGACGGCAGCTTCGAAAGCCAGTAACATAGAGTTGCCAGGGCCACGGTCAGAGGCCTGGAAGAGGCGGTTGCTCGGGCGCAGCCACTAAGCCAGGGTCGGCGGATATGCTTTATATATATTAATATTATATATATATATATTGTTTACAAAATATTGACATTACATAGTTAATCCTTCGGAAAGCTCCCGTGGATGTGATTTAATTGCTCACCGCACCTGTTGCTAAAGGCCACCAAATGCTCGGTTCCGCATCGATCGTGGACTCGGTCTGACGTGGGGGGATTCAAGGTGACCCTTCTTCTGAGGAACTTGCCGAGATCTTCCCATGTGCTTGGGATTTTTTGTTGTGGTCTCCATTTTACCTACCCATCCATTTTTCCAATTTTTCCTCCAGAGTCTATAGTGGTAACTTACAGTACTATGCATTCCCCAAACATCCTCGAACCATCCGGATCTCCACTGCCGTTCACTGCTATCCAGAGGCCCGTTTTCAGCATAAATCCAGTGTTTTAGGGGCAAGGCAGCTATGAGTTCCCCTGTCCGTCTTGGTGCCAGGAATCTTGCCCTATCATTCTCCAGCTTTGCTTTGTCAGCTGCTTTGCTGAGCAAGGACGTCGAGGCCTGGAAGAAAACACAGTGGCCACCGCTTTTGCATCTCAGCATGGTCTTGGAAAGACCCGTAGATTTTCAGACGCCATCCCACACCCATGTTCTTTGTCGAAGACGACCGATTCTGCAGGTCTTGTACCGTCGCCGGGATGCCGAATGGGAGTCCGTGTTGCATTCCATCCTGAACTGCAACGTTTGGCCGGGCGTCAAGAGTCTCAGCTGTACCAGAGGAGTGTGACATGATCCTTCATGGCCTAAATTTGCCTCACACCAGCGGCAACAAAGACTTGGTTGTGTCATTTTATGGCTGAAGTTTGGACCTTCCAAACCATGTTGCACTTTCGGAAAGAATCGTATCAACGTTGTTGGTTCTCTGTTCGCGGTGCTTAGATGTTGGAATCGCCTTAATGCCTATGGTGCCACGAACACGGCGTGAACATTCAGTATGAGGAGCTTTCGTTGGGGCACGTGGGTGAGAGGCCAACTGAGGAAACACCTGAAGGTGAAAAGCATCATTTGCAGAGGTTTACAACATGTTATGAATAACATATAATAACATGTTTGTTCTTTCCAAGCAAATCTAAGAAGTTGAACAAGGTTCCAGGAGGTCAATCATGTTTAGATCTGGACTTTCTGCAGGGGAAGTAAAGCCCACAGTTGCTACTTCATTGGGAGATAGTATCGCAAGACAAAGGGTGCTTGGACATCACAGAAACCAACCTTTGTAAAGCTGTGGACATTGACACACAGTGTTTCTTGGCAAACCGTGAAACAGATTACTTCCATGTCCTCGAGCAGGGAATGAGTGCTGGTGACTTGATGTCTTTTGGACTGGATCAGCCGTTGTTTCTTGTAAACATCAAGGGCCTGGTACGATAGAGATCAGTGGCCTATCGCCACTTGCCCTCCGCTTCTCGTGAATATGTCGATATAAGTTCTACATCATGATGTAAAATGCCAAACAAGTTGTAGACTGTGGATAGAACATAAAACAAATTGCCTTACAAGGATTCTCACATGTTCTCACTCTTTGATGTTCATGGCCATCCAAAGTCAAGGATGTACGAGTACAACACCACCATGGCGCAGCGTGGAAAGCTCCCGAAGGGGCCCATGGAGTGGTTGAAGAGTGTGGCAGCCACCTGTCCAAAGAGAGGGTGTGGAGATAGCAGATCAAGCAATCCAGATAGGAAAACAGGACTGCAGTGATGTGGACAGGACCATCACAATCCAGATTCGAGAGAGAGAGAGAGAGATAGAGAGATATCATTCGTGAAGGTGATCTGTGGATATGACAGATCTGTGAGACCAGACCCCACCAGCCATTTTTCTTGGTTTCGCCCGCGGGACCTCAGGCGAACCCGAGGTGGTGGATAAAGACCATTACTATCCATTACCTATATAATAGCGCACTTGTTACTAACCTACTTGCAATGGCCTCCACCTAATGGCGTCCTTGTTACTAGTATAGCTTTTACTATCCATTCCCACCTAAGATTCCGGGCCAAACGCAATGGAAAGGCTTTGGTTCGGACCGGAGGGTCACCTGCCATGGAAGGCCCAAGGATTCTTAGGGGTAATTGTGTTTCTTCAGAAATCCTTTGCAATCGAGGTGGCCAAGAAGCCGCAATATTACCGTTTTGGCTCCAAATAAAGATGTGCCTTCGTTTTGTCATCAGAGAGCTTGCTCGAAGATTTCCTGCTTTACCTTTTGAAGAGGGTTAACAACAAACAAATGCAAACGGAAGACCACAACCTAAGAATTAAATGCAATGACAGATTGTCATCAAAAATACCAGTCTCGTTGGAGCTACATTCGGCAATTAGATTCAGTGATCGCACAGGTCGTTGGAGAAACATTGAGACACATTAGCAAGGGTGCATAAATCTGGATAAAGGGATCCAAGCCTTCATGCAAGCCACTTCTTCAGTATCTGTTCTACACCAAGAAAGGTAGAAAGGTGTTTCTTCACTCGAGAGTTACTGAGGCCTGGGTTAAAAACGCAATGTTGAATCATCCCTCACATGATTTCTCCAAGACCCAGTCTTCGAAATGGTTTTCTTGAGGTGGAGGACATCAGCGGTCCCTTCATTTGCCAATATGGAAGTGAGATCCGTCCGGCCATTTGACTTCGTCCGCATCCGCCGTCCGCGTCCGCCACCCGACGATACCGACGGCTGACGAATCGGAGCCTTAATGGCGCAAGTCTAGAAAAATGTCTCTCAAGAGTCCAAGAGGCAGTATTCAAGGGTTGGAAGGAGAGAGATGGACAACATCATTTCGGAAGGTTACAAGGAGGGGCTCAGTATGGCAGAGCAAAGTTAGACTACATAGATTACATTGCGCCTGTGAATCTCAAGGGACCTAGGACATCCTAGGACTGTGGACATTTCTGGGAGGCACAACTTGGTGACTGCACGGTGCCTACGTTTTCGGGGCCCAGCTTTCAGAAAAGGACCCTTCAGCTTGGGTGAATTCGCACATCCGGACACCAGCCTTCACTCCTGTGGATCCAATCCAACTCAGCAGTTGGACGGTGGAGACGGAGATGGTCTTAACAACTTTTCACTGATCCATCGACCATGGGGCTGTGGTGGGGGCAAAAAGGGAGCGCGGAATCCGTTTTGGTTCTCATACAATACAGTTTGCATAATAAGCTGTTGTTTGTTTCCTCAAACTGGTTGGATGTCGTTGGTGATTAGTGAGCAATCGAGTCAGGATATGAATTACCAGAAATAGCTGTGCAGGTAGGACCACTTCCACAGATCAGGAAAGTCATGAATCAAACAATGAAACCTACCGAGGTCGCAGAAATACAGTTGAACAAATCACTTGAGGATTCTATTGAGACACGGAGCATTGCCACGCAAGGAATTCCACTTTCTGAAACGGCCTGCCTAAACCGTCCACCGGAAAAGACCGCTGTGCTCGGTCGAAGACGACAGGTTCGAAGCAAGAAGTGGTGGTTCTCCTTCTTCTTGCGCACTCCGGAGCGATTTTTCCAGCTTCCGGGTCATTCGTTGGTGCTGTTCCCTGGCTTGAAAACCCTTAAAAACGGGCACTCGTACGTCAGCGCAGCTGAAAGATATCTTCACCAATCAAAGGAATCAGCTATAGGCTATAGGTCCCTCGAAAAGAACCTTTGAAGGAACCAGGACTCTCCTAGTATACTTTGGTTTCTTCCATGTTCATCCATAAGATGGGTCCAGAGTCTGATGGCTTCAAAGTTCAGAAGGAGAATGGCTCGACCAAAGCTGTGAGCACTTCGTATCAAGTCCCACCTGCTGCTTTCAGGTGCTCTGTTATAGAGTTCAATTTCACTTTCACTGATCCGTTGAATCCTTTGGATGGCTTTTTGTGGATCGGCCTTTGGTAGGACTTTACCTCAGAGATCGAGGACAAATTTCAGAGGCTTTGTCGGGCACTTTCGGGCACCGAGATTTCGGACCTGGCGATTGAACAGTGGCGAGGAATTGATACAGTTTTGTTATGGTTTGTTCCCCAAACAGCTTTGCTGTGAGTGGTTTACAATTCTTGCATAGAAACGATGCTGGACCAAGATGATTCCCGCCCTTTGTCTCCCCTTGCCTGCCCTTGTCTCCCATGGCATGGGCTCAGATGATTTTGCTTTGTCTCCCTTTGTCTCTCTTTGTCTCCCTTGTCTGCCCTTGTCTCCCATGGCATGGGCTCAGATGATTTTGCTTTGTCTCCCCTTGTCTCCCATGGCATCTCTGGATGCTGGGCTGAGATGATTTTGCTTCGTCTCCCTTTGTCTCCCCTTGTCTCCCATGGCATGTCTGGATGCTGGGCTGAGATGATTTTGCTTTGTCTCCCTTTGTCCCCCCTTGTCTTCCATGGCATGTCTGGATGCTTGGCTGAGATGATTTTGCTTTGTCTCCCCTTGTCTCCCATGGCGTGTCTGGATGCTAGGCTGGGATCACTTTGCTTTGTCTCCCCTTGTCTCCCCAGGCGTGTCTGGATGCTGGGCTGAGATGACTTTGCTTTGTCTCCCCTTGTCTCCCTTTCTCTCCCATGGCGTGTCTGGATGCTGGGCTGAGATGACTTTACTTTGTCTCCCCTTGTCTCCCTTTCTCTCCCATGGCGTGTCTGGATGCTGGGCTGAGATGATTTTGCTTTGTCTCCCCTTGTCTCCCCAGGCGTGTCTGGATGCTGGGCTGAGATGACTTTGCTTTGTCGCGAGCGCATGACGCCTTGGGAGATTTGGCGCCAGGAATGGATCGGCCTAAAAGGAAAACTCCGACTGCCGCTGCTGTTTGGGGTCGATGCTGGTGTAATTTGTTTACTTTAGGCTTGATTTCAGGTCGGGGGTTCATATGGCAGGTGTTCAAAAATCTGTAGCCTCTACCCTCCCAAACGCTCGTGGCTGGACTAAATCTGTGGTACAGTATATTTTTGAGACCCATGCATACCGTGACAGTCTTTGAGTTGGATAGAGTATATAGAACATCAACATGATCAACCCTTCACTGGAAGGCCTTCCGAAACCTGGATGGGAAATGATGGGAAGAAGTTTGGAAGCTGGGCACCGGTGGGGCTTTTGGGCATCCAAGCGCCCGAAACAAATCATTCAGGGTTAACAACTGGCGCGCCCGTAAAAATTCGATGGGTTTTGGACCTGCCCCATCTGGGAACCTGTGGAGGGGCTGTTTTTTTGGGTGAGTTGCATATCAACTCCTTCCAGAAACCTGATGTAAATTGGTTTTGCTGGTGCAACCACCTTTGAGGCTTCTTAAGCAGACTTGAAAGACATGCACCTATGAAGAAACCGCAGTTGTGGTGGCAGTTGCTGGGTCGGGAAACTGTACCCAAGAGATTAGCTCGATGGAAGGGCGTTCACTGACTATTAATTCGAGGATAACATTGGTGTGTATTAACATAGGGAGACCTCCCAATGTCCCCGTGGAAAATAAAGGTAAATAGACAGTATTAAAGTACACACCCATTTTGGGGTCCTTTGGTGTGATGAGTCCGTCCCAGCCTTTGGACTGCTTCCGTCCGAATACCCGAATACTTTCGGGTGTGGATCCAAGAAACCCATGGCCCTGAAACTGCCTGAAACTCTCGGAAGCCCGGTATTTCTAGAGAATCTTGATAGGTGTATAGTCATATTGTGTAAGGTCATATAATGTCATATATAGTTACTGTATATAGAATCATATGTATTATATCATCATAATCATCATCATCATCATCATCATCATCATCGTCATCGTCATCGTCATCATCATCATCATCATCATCATCATCATCATCATCATCATCATATTCATTCATTCATTCATTCATTCATTCATTCATTCATTCATTCATT